CTTCAAAATGTACAATGGGATGTAATGTTTACTTGTGTTGGTTAGTCTCTATGGTAAGACTATAATGCATTTTCCAACCTAATAATATTCATAAGAATTATATTAAACATACTTCTGAATATATATTTATTTTATCGACTACATTGCTCTTACTACTAATTATTCGTAGGATACAATATTATGGTACCGATACGATCGTAGGTACTACACTTTCGGCTACACTGGCCAACAATCTTCGTGCTTGGCTCCCATTGGACGTCGCGAGAGGCTTCTGATTGGGAGTTAGCGAGTTCCGCCGAGGGACCGAGTTAGCGACTTACGTACGAGGACGGAATTCGCTAACCCGGCTCTAGAGCGGGTTAGCGGGTTCCGGAGTTAGCCAATTCCGAAAACGAACAAGTTAGCGAGTTCCTCTCATTGACCAAATTTGAAGATAGGGCGTTTAACATGGGGTTAGCGGGTTCCAGAGTTAGCCAATTCCTCGGACCCAGATAGCAGATAGGGGCGTTTGATAGGGAATCTGAAAAAGTAAACAAACAAGGAACAACGATGCGACAATACTCTTTATAGCCTTATTGTCTCGCCCACTACATTTTACACACGTGACCACTTTTTGTTTGTTAATTATCTTTCATCCATCCCAAAATGGAATTCCTGAAATAGTTTGTTGGTATAATCTTCCCTCCCACACAAGGCACAGTACTCAGTGCGCACTGTAGGTTGTCACGGCAACCGTGTGTCGTCATAGCGACTAGCCAATCACGCACTCGCACTGCGTTGTAGATACGATACGAATAGCTGTGTTAGAAAGACAACGCGATAGGTGGTAGTTTGTCTCTTTCAACGCGATAGGTGGTAGTTTGTCTCTTTCGTATCGATCGATAATCAGATAATCATTGCGCAACGTAGAACTGTGATGACTTTGTTTTAAATAACGACAAATATTAAGTGTTCTTATATGGACACAGTTAGTCTTTGACATTGCCTAGCCATATGAATTATTTTACTTAAAAAACCCACCCTTGAAAAAAGAAAAAAATGTATTTGTATTTGGATCCAAAGATCTGGATCCGAGGATCCGGATCCGATTTTTTCAAGACAGGGTGTCTACTACATTCTGGATAAAAAATTCATGGACAATTCCCGTACATTTAAGGACACTTTGCCGTAACCTTTGTCGGTGTCATTAGGCCTACCGAATAATTTTCCTGATTTGTCAAACTGTATTAATCTTGTTATACACTGTAGTTGTACCAGAGAGAAAAGTAAATAATAATAGATAAGAGTTAAAAATTACAAAATAGAAATTTATTGAAAGTAAACAAACATAGGCCTACCTATACTTTAGGTAAAGCTTTTATAGTGTAACAGAGAAACGCAATCATTGTCTCCTGCGATAGCGACAAATATCTCCATCCGTCACGTTAACTTCATAACATAGCTTATCCGATCCAGGCGGATTAATTTGGCATGATTCGCCCTGGCACAACGTTAGGTTCTCGACTACTTTTGAAAAAAAATCTTTAATGCATATTGTTATTGGGCTCGATCAGTCTGAGACACTTATCGGTTCAGTATACATGACCTAAAATAATTATACACAAGTACACCAAACAATATTTAGCGTACAGATATCAGTAACTGCAACCCCATTCACTCAACTACCTTTTATTTAGCATTAACTGTTCCTGTAGCTGTCTCATAGCTTAGTTGTAAATATTATTTTGATTAATTTAGTTTTAATTTTTAAGAATATTTCTAATTTGCAATAGAGCTCGTCCCGCGCACAGGTCTTTTACGGCCTATGCGGGACTATTGTTCGTATTTTGTATATGTATATATTGTAAAAATTTTTGGAAATAAAGCAGATTTTGATTTGATTTGATTTGATTTTGTTACTCAATTCTTAGTACAAAATCAAGGTATGGTAAGCGGCTATTAATAAGCAATAAGCACAGAGTAAGATTATTGTATTTTCATTTGTAAAGTTAATATCAACACATAGCAATCATTAGTTGTTTATCTTAGGCTCAATTATATTTTCTTAATATATTTTACAGCTCTTTCAAGAATCAAAATACCCAGGCCTAAACCTAAATTATTTAGGAGGGCCTATATAAACTGAGTAACAAACAATGAGGTTATAATAGCAGCAAAGTTACTATCATCATTCTAGTTCATAAGATTTTGATTGCTTAAAGCATACAACTCAATAAATAAATATATGGGAAACAAAAAACATTGAAACCTGAATAGCCAACAATATAAGACAAAGATACAGAAAATGCAATGACATAATTTGAAACCAAGCAGGCCTATATAGTGATAAAACATTAATGCAAACAACAATGCTTGTGGTTTTGTCAATTGAAAGATAAAATGTCCATAAAAAAGGAGTTAACTTACAAAATAAGACTGTAGATTATTTACATGTTTAATATGAAACCATAAACAGTTTTATGGCACTAGGCACTGGCCGCGGCAAATTGAATCTTCAAGCCGAAAGTACAAGTAAGAAGTGAAATTTAACAGCCATTATAAAGCTATTATTTTCACGATAAAATAGGTTTGGGATCTAATAATAATTACCCTAGTAATAAAAAAAGAAGTTGTAAAGGAATAAAAGTGATACAACTTTTATGAGCTAGCTGCTGAGTCAACAGTTCTTGGAAGTACTTGACTTGACACTTGATTGTCGTGATAAAATATAATGGGTTTGAGATTGTTAATGGGATTTTTATTGCATAATTACTCTAGTAATAAATTATGAAAATGTAAACAAACATCTGATAAGCCTTTTATGTGCTCCTAACCAACTAGCGATCAATAAAATTATGGCCCATTAAAAATTTAAGGACATTGTCTGGCATTTAAGGACAATTCCCGTACATTTCATGGCCAGTAAAAATTTAAGTACAATTCCCGGTTTTCCCGGATTTCCCGGTTGGTAGACACCCTGCAAGATCCGGATCCAGTACCGGCATTTTCTTGGATCCGCCCATCACTAAAAAATACATCATATACAGTAGAACCTCGCTAATCCGACCTCTGATGGTCCGACTCCTCGCTTGGTCCGACCGTGCTGCCAACACAATAGGCTTCCGCTAACATAGCCTCATTGTCCAATAAAAATATCCAGAAAACTTTATAAATTGTTTTTTTTAGTCCAATGTGTTGAAATTTGTTGTATATTTAACCATGTCTGCCCATTATTAATATGTAGGCTCCCACATTATTGTTTTTGGAAAAACACAGTTCATTTGACAAAAATCAAATGGAAGCAAAACAAAGGAATGCCGATCAAAGCTTCAAGGTCAAGCTATCCGTTTGAACTGACAAGTGACAATCGTCTGCTCCTTAAGCCTAGTCCACACATGGAGACTGAGTCGGCCGACTGTCTGCCGACTGTGCGCGGACAGTCGGCTGACAGTCTGTCAACACAGTTTCAGATACAAGTTTCCGATGTGTTTTGCGTCCACACTAGCCAGCCAGTGTTTCCATGTTTGTTGGTATGGTGACCGAGGAGTGCGTAATTATATCCTGTGCGGGCTTCATTTTTCTGAGCAATGGGCCTAATGAATCTAGGAAGAGACTATGATGGACTCAACATTTTCTCGAGCAAGGTTCGTACGATGGTCGCAATCTTCTATCAGACCTTCAGATTAGGTGGAGGATTAAGAACTTCACGAGGTTGACTTCTAAAGATTTTGAAATTTTGCTGGGCTTTCTTGGTCCTAAGATTTTAAACTTGCAGAGATGAACAATTCAATAACATGTCATATAATGATATAAATTATTAAAAACTAATTCCAAAACTTTCAAGACACTCAATCCAGCTCTTTTATTACTGCCCAAAAATCGTAATATTACCGCTTTGCAGTCTATCTAAATGGGCTGAATGCTGAACACCTTCGGCTTGTATCCAGTCTCCTGTCTCCAGACACGTCCACACATGCAGACTTGAGACAAAAGTTTTGTCTCTTGTCTCCGTGTTTCCCATTCGAACGGGAAACAGAAAACACTGTATTTTGTCTCCAGGAACACCGAAATTTGTCTGCCGACAGTCGGCCGACATACTGGAGACAAAATAGCAACATACTGGAGACAGTCGGCAGACGATGTTTCCGCAGACAAATCGCCATGTGTGGACGAGGCTTTAGGCCTACACACGACACATCTGTCTGCTGTGCGCTTACAATGTCACAACATTTTGTGATTGGGTATTTGGTAATCATGACAACTTTAGTAGCCTGTGATTGGGTGTTTAGTAACCATGGAAAATTGTTGAATGGGTGTATGAAGAGAAACTTAAGGAATAATAAAAGAACAAAGAGAATGAATAAGCGATGTTTTCATGTCATTGTTATCTTTATCGGTGTATTTTACGACTTTTGTTATGCTATAAGTAGTCTATTATTATTTTATACTTTTTTTATGCGTTAACTAATGTTTTGTCGACATTCTTCTGTCCTGAAACAGCGTAGCAGTAGCTTACTAGACTTTCGAATGTTCTATGCTTTTTTTTGATTGGCAATTTGTTTGTTTGAGTAAAAGTTTGAAAAAGCCGTGATTTTAAACGTTACAGTTTTTATTACTGAGCCAAGGGTAATGACATAACATAATTATCATGATTGCGCAATAGCCTACTAATTGTATTTTTATGATGTAATATGCAAATTATTAAATTAACGTCCATTTAGTTTATGAGTTGGAAATAACTATTTTATGTCATGTTGGATTAACCGTGGTTATCAGTTATCCGTGGTCTGTTCAAAATACAGTTTACTACATTTTTATGTCAATAAACACGTTCCTCTGATAATCCGACCTTTTTGCTGTTCCGACCATGCTCCCGGTCCCGTAGGTGACGGATTAGCGAGGTTCTACTGTACTGGTTATTAACCCTACTAATCATCACTAATAACTTATTTTTATTCCAAAAAATATATTTCACTAATCTTTTTTATTATACCTAGTGCAACAATAAATTATAAGCTTACCTGCACAAACTCAAGTTTGATAGTCTCTGAAATATCCAATCCCTTGCTGACCTTGAAAATGTTTGTGATGACATCTTCTGGAGCATATCCTAACTTCCACAGGTGTGCAATAATCTGTCAACATAGAAATAAATAAGGATAAATCTAAAAATTTTTCTTCAGAAATTACTAAAGCAGTGTTTCCCAAACTGTGTGTCCTGACCTACTGGGTCAAAGGAACAACTCGGATGGGTCATAGGAAGAGAGCAAACATTAAATATGTTTTTGACCAGACTCAAAATTGTGTAATCATGGGCGCCAACTCATAAAACTTTTTGGTGTCAAGTCACAAGATCTTGATTGATTGATCTTGGGGGGTATCAGTCAGGGAAGATGCAGCCGAGACTCGTGGGCTGCAGGGAGGTCGGGGGGTTCTCACCCTGAGAAAATGTTATTTTCCATTGTTAAAAAACACAATTTTCAGCCATTCTTTTAATGTAATTTTCCATATAGAAGCACAATTCTTTTCTCTATTTTCTCATTTTTGGCACTATTATAAATATGTTGATACTAGATGGCCGATATTTTTTTTTCCTAGGACGCTAGGCACGAGCCTGGGATTGTTTTTCACATTACTTCAGGCTAGACCTAGGGGTTGCGGCATTATCACTTAGATAAAATCCATTGGTGACTTGGCGGGGATCGAACCCGGGACCTCAAGGACTGAAGTCCCGCGCTCTACCCACTATGCCAGCTCGCTCCCCAGATGGCCGATGTAGCAAGAGAATGAATAAAAACTGCATGTCGAAGTAAGGATGTCACTTCTCTCTGGAGAAACAGATATTTTTATCAAGTACAATAAAAATGTAATCTCCCTCCCGCTGATAACAATTCTGTATTGTTTTACCAAAGATGGCGATTCACTGATACAATCCAAATACCAACTTTAAGATTTTCCTAAAGCAGACGGAACCAGTTATCAGTAATATTGACTCCCTCCGTCAGATGACAGACCAATTAAATCAACTCCTTTTCCCATATGGTAACGAAATTATAATAAGATAAGATGGTCATAGATAAGAGTTTTATAACTACACTCAATCTATTGCAGTTAGCTGAATTTGCGTGTAACCTCAAGAGTAACCGTCAATTTCAACATGTTTCACCTAGTTATAATCAAAATAGTAATTAATACAGTAAAAACAAACACACAGCCTACATTAACTGATAACGCAAAGCGACCAAATCCATAGACTGACAACAACCTTGAGGCGTTTGCAATGGTTGTATTTGTTTATATTTTTATTTCTGATGGGCAGACAGTAGGGGTGTGCGAGTATTCGAACATCGAGCTTTTTCGAGCCGAATAGCGTCCTATTCGGCTCGGCTCGTGATTTTCAAAAAGTTCGAAATGTTCGAGCCGAATACTTATTGAACTAGCAAATAAAAATTAAATTAATAAATAAGGAACTAACTTTCATTTACTCTCCGTTTCATAATTCTGTCTTGATAAGCAAGAACCTCAGCTCAGTCAAGACGCAATGATTATCGATCGTAATTTTGAGGAAACTACCACCTATCGCGTTGTCTTTCCAACACAACTATTCGTATCGTAATATACAACGCAGTGCGAGTTCGTGATTGGCTAAGTCGCTATGACGACACACGGTTGCCACGGCAACCTACATTGCGCACTGAGCACTGCGCCTTGTGTGGGAGGGGAGATTATACCAACAAACTATTTCAGGAATTCTATTTTGGGACGGATGAAAGATAAGGAAGAAACAAAGGTGGTCACGTGTGCAAATGTAGTGGGCGACACAATAAGGCTGTAAACGAGTATCGTCGTGTCGTTGTTCCTTGTTTGTTTACTTTTTAAGATTCCTTATCAAACGCCCCTATCTGCTATCTCTCTTTCTCTCTCTCTCTAACAATGTACTGATTAAACAAGATTGTGGTTGACGACTTTTCTACTTATAAGTTTCCCTGCGGTTATTTTAGTTCAATCAATCCCATAACCTTTCTAATGTTTATCAAAATAATTAATTAATATGTTTTGTATTTTATTTCCTTTAAACCAACCCCTATTTACCATCTGTATTTTATAGAATAAAATATTTGTTTATAAAGTTTGACTGGCCACACAATTTTGTACCTATTTTATTTTGTATAAAAGTAACAGTTACTTTGAGGATTATATATATATCAATAAGTGGCGCGTGCTGTAATGAGTGCTTTTTATTTTCAAAATAAGTAATGAGTTATTAATTTTTGATAGTACGGGTCATTAAATACCATAATGTGATGTAGTTTCCTATTTGTATCTTGCAAATAATAATAATTGATGGTTAATTCTGGAAATGAAAAATAGTGATCGCATTCATAAACCTGTTGTCAAAACAGCAACGAGGGTGTAAGGGTTTATTGTTTCAGACGCAAGGGTGTTTCAAGGACAAAGTGTTGGGTCACCCGGGGGGAGGGGGCGGTGAGACTGTGTGAAGGGGAGGAAACTGGTTTTGGCTATTTATTGATTAGTCCGCCGACCCTTCTAGATGACAAAATTGAGTGACAGTGTTAAATCATCGTGTTCTGAATTTCATTTCTTGTTTACTTTGTGTGTTATTCTATTAATTCTAGTGCTTTTGGTCTATTTCCTCTATATGTCAATTATATATTTTTTAATATATAAGTAAAACTTGTCTCTCCACCTTTTTGGATCCAAACCAACCATGTTCTTTTTTGATTAATAGGATTCATTTAGAGGTGTGCGGATATCCGAAAAATCGGGTCGGATTCGGTTCGGATATCCGTATCCAAACCGGGCCCAAATTCGATATCCGACACTATCCGTTATTTATCCGACTTTTTCGGATATACAATATATTTTGACGTTTTGGACAGAAAACTAAATCTCCATAGCTACCATTAGTTTCCCAGGACAAAATTACAGCAATACGTTTCCAACGACCTAACAGCAAACGGCAAAGAAGCCGTATGATGCAATACTGATAACTAGTTTAGTCGTTATCGGCTGTTTTGCTTTACGATTACATTCGTCTGGAATGAACAGGCATAAAGCAAAAAAGAACTACCATGGTCAAATGAAAGTCAACTCGTGCTTGTCTCGCTCCTGATACTAGGGGCGCTGTAATAGTTTATTTACAGTACTGTAAAAATAACAACGTCATTCTTTCTCTTTGTTCTTCTATTTCTTGGGTTTCCCTTCATCACGCATTCAACATGTTGTCATGGTTACTAATCACCCATGTCTTTATCAGCTTTTGTGACATAGCGCACAGCATGGGGTAAAACTTGACGAATATCGGTTAATTTTTACCTACCAATTTAGTACTACTTTATTGGTATTTGGTACTGTATTAATAATCGGTCAAAATGGCCGAATTTTGTCAAATTTTACACCAAATTTATTGAAATTTCAAGGTGAATATTAATAAAACAATTATTACCAAATATTTGTATTCATTTAAAAGATTGATTTGTTGTATTGGGTTCCCCACTGAGTGCAGCCGAGCGGCACTAATGAGGGTCGGACCTTCTTGCGGGTGAACAATAGACGGCTTATCAGACCCACCCCTCCCCCGTGGTCTGGAGAAAGCTTGTAAACAAACTATTGCACAAGCCATTGGGCTGCTTCAACTATAATTTTGTCAAATGAACTGTGATGTTTTAAAATCAAAAACAATAATTTGGGACCATACTGCTTAACAATAATGGACTGCAATTATTGTTAAACATACAATCCATTTTTACATTAAACAAAAATATTTTGTGCATGGAAAACAACAAGAATAATCATGTGTTTTTAAATTTATTTTGTATTTATTTATACAAAATAGAATTAAATATTCATAGTAGTTACAATATACATATGTAATCGACTTGCTAGTTGTTTTGTCGTCATTCAAGGTCGCGTTGCTGTTCTGTCATGAAAGACAATCTGATTGTCTCAGTCTGCACTGCATATCTCGTCAGGCCTTCAATCGATATCCTTTTATTTCTTGCATCTTAATTTAGTTCAGTTCAGTTCTTATCGTGATTATCTACTATTTGATGTCTTGACAATTCTCGATGTTTTTAAACATATTAAAATAACATTGTGTTTATTTAAAAATTGACTGAACATTATTATTATTATGCACTTTTTTAAGAAAAAAAAAGTTTAATAATTAAGATAAGGTTAGGCCTACGCTAGGAAAAGCTCGGCTCAAAAAAGCTCGAGCTCGAACATTTTTTAAAAAGCTCGGCTCGGCTCGGCTCGAGGTTGAAAATCGCTATTCGCACACCCCTAGCAGACAGCTGCGAAATCGTTCAGGTGAACTTATAAATGCTCATAGCTGTTCGGCTGTATGACCGAGTGTCAGCCCTCTTCCCCGATCTAGGCCACGGCTCCAGCTCGCTTGGTGTTGCTACACTTGGATTTCACTACACTTGGTTTATAGTTGGTGTGTTAGCGTCTAATAACACTTTGCTATATATATTTTACACTTATACTTTATTACATATGAGTCGGCAAACATATTTTGAAAATGGTCACACCATCTTAGATTTATGTTTACCGTTTGGTTTATAGTTGGTGTGTTAGCGTCTAATAACACTTTACTATATATATTTACACTTATACTTGATTACATATGAGTCGGCAAACATATATTGAAGATGGTCACACCATCTTAGATTTATGTTTACCGTCTACTCGTCTAGTATGTAAATAGGCTTTTATGTACAATAGGCTACTGAGAATTGGAATCGTCGAATCCCTAATTTTAATACATTATTTTATTTTCAGTAAGTAAAGCATTGGTGGGGCTGCAACCCACCATCTTCACCATATCTTATGAAGTCGGCGCCCATACTTGTAATCCTTTATTGCCAGAACGGTAGGGGTCTGCTGGTCCCTGATTTTTTCGTATAACCAACTTATGTTAACAAATCTTCACAGGAGCTGCTAACCATAACCACCCACAAAGGTCTTTTTAGGTTTACCAGGCTGCCTTATGGCATCAGTAGTGCAGGTGCACTATTCTTATCAGCAATGGATAAGATTTTAAACGGACTTGAAAACACTTTTTGTTACTTATACGATATATTAATTGTAGCAAAATCTACTGATGAAATGTTGGGACGAGTGGATGCTGTTCGTATGAGTGGAAAAATCATTAATATCTCCTGCAGTCACAAAACGTGATCGCCTTCTATTGCGAACACGGCAAAATCATGAATATCTCCCATGGTCACAAAAACATGATCGTCGTCTAGCATGACGGCAAAATCATGAATATCTCCTGCGCTCACAAAAATGTGATTGTCGTCTAGCATGTCGGCAAAATCATGGATATCTCCCACGGTCACGAAAACGTGATGGTCGTCTAGCATGACAGCAAAATCATGAATATCTCCTGCGTTCACAAAAACGTATTCTTCGTCTAGCATGACGGCAAAATCATGAATATCTCCTGCGCTCACAAAAACATGATTGTCGTCTAGCATGTCGGCAAAATCATGAATATTTCCTATGGTCACAGAAACGTGATCGTCGCCTTAGCACAAACGAGGCAAAATCATGGATATCTCCCATGGTCACAAAAACATGATCGTCGTCTAGCATGACTGCAAAATCATGGATATCTCCCACGGTCACGAAAACGTGATTGTCGTCTAGCATGTCGGCAAAATCATGTATATCTCCCATGGTCACAAAAACATGATCATCGTCTAGCATGACGGCAAAATCATGGATATCTCCCACGGTCACGGAAACGTGATCGTCGCCTTAGCACAAACGAGGCAAAATCATGAATATTTTCCGCGGCCGTGTAGACATCATCATCGTCGCCAGCGGTCACGAGAACGTGATCGTCTCCTTGCTTGATCGCAGCAAAATCATGAATATCTTTTGGGGTCACGAAAACGGAACCGTTGTCTGGAGCGATCTGTTTCCAAAATCCAAATTCTGTTTATCATTCGCGGCCATAGACATCATTCTTGTCTCCCGCGGTAACGAAAACGTTCTAATCAACTAGCAGAAAAATTGTTAATATCTCCCAGGGTCATGAAAACAGGTTCGTCGTCTAGCGCGATTGCGGCAAAATTCTGTTTATCTACCATAGACATCATCGTTGTCTCCTGCGGTAACAAAAACGTGATCGTCGTCTAGCGTGATGGCAAAATCATGAATATCTCCTGCGGTCACAAAAACGTAATTGTCGTCTAGTATGACGGCAAAATCATGGATATCTCCCATGGTCACAAAAACCTGATCGTCGTCTAGCGAGACGGCAAAATCATGAATATCTCCCGCTGTCAATAAAACGTGATCGTCATGAAACTTCCCGACTTTGATATCAAAATAAAGACTAAATCCCGACATACCCGTCTTTCCTGACTACTAGACTCCCTGTCACCACCATGGCACCATGTGTAGATTTTCCCTGCGATGCACACAAGCTGAGAAAAAAGGTTTTAAAGAAACATGCTTGCCTATTAATATATAGATCATGATATCTCAATTCTATTTTATCATAAAAATAATAGTTTTATAATGGCTGTTAAATTTCATCCCTAACTCAGTCAGTATTTTCGTGAATATTCAATTAGTCGCTGGCCATTGCCTACTGCCATAAAACTGTTTGTTGCTTCATATTAAACTTGCAACTAATCTACAATCTTATTTTATAAGTTAAAATATTTGTTATGGATATTTTATCTTTCTATTGACAAAAACCACAAGCGTTGTTGTTTCCATTCATTTTTTATCTTTTTCCGTTATGTTATAAAACCATGAGTGTAGGATACTATCCTTTTCCATAGTAATGTCAATGTATTAAAATTTAAAATAATGGTTTTAATACAATTGTGAAAAGAAAACCGCTAAATCACTGATAGCCGTGTACTGTACCGATTTTGTACCGAGAACCGAGGTACAAAATATTGTACCGTACTGACCTTAAATTTTCTGTACCGCAAACCCCTACTAAAAAGTGAATTGGTCTCGGATCTGTAGGTCTTACCATGAGACTCTCAGTAGTAGATTATAACCTGTAAAGGAAATTCCCTATAAGAGACAAAATTGCATATGAAACTGACCTTGTAGGCCTTTGATATGTCACCGGAGACACAATGCATGAGCATATCCTTGACTAGCAGTGGATGTGGCTCGTCGCAGACTTTAAACACGTTCTCACTGTTGACATGGCCAAAACCTGCAAAACAAATGTTAGCAAATAAAAACAAAATTCTAAAGACAACAAGCTATTATTTTACCAAATTAGACAACTCATACGTAAACTAGACGTGATTTAGTAAAACCATGCAATTGTTGACTTTAAAGGGGGTGGGGGGGAAAGCACCGAAGGGATTTATAGGGACTTTTGGAAAAATGTATATCTAGTTAGGTACAAACGATTGGTATATAGTTTTACCTGTCTTTAATTTGTTTTGACAGAAAACCTTTATTGACTGGGCTACTGTGGTATTAGATCAGTTGTCATCCTAAAAAAATTCTTTTTCCTTTGTACTGTGTTTAGGTCGTGGCTTGATTTTAACATATGCTATGATTCTTTGTTTTGCTTACATTTACGTCGTTATTTTGTGACCATCATGGCAACACATAAGACCAATGTTAAAATGTTTAAACTTTGAGTTACTTTAAAATTATAGACGCATTATCAAAAATTGAAATTGGTTACGTCTAAACCATCCAAACATTTGACAAAACAACCTTGGTAAGTTTGGCTAAGATATGTTCAGCCGTTATTGAGATTAAGTGTTATAAAGATTACATTGAAGTTGACCTGAAAGAGCTTAGCTTCGCTCCGCTCAACAAACATGTTCAAGTGAGACGATTTTTCAATTTTGTTAATAAATAGTAGGATTTGAGAAGAACTGGTTGTTTATTTTAATAATTATTATTAATTACGGTACAATATATTTCATCTGAACCAAGCCAATACTTTACCATTGAATGTTGATTGTAAGTTGTTCAAAGCCTGCCTCATGTCCCCTTGGGCTGTAAATATGATTGCTTCCAGCCCATCATTGGTGTGTGGAATCTGCATGAACAAATCAAGCATATAACACTGTGGTTTAGGTATCACAAAGGAAAATTTCTCTGATGTTGTTTATTTTCTTTAACCAGAAATTTTTTTCTTCAGAAATTTTTTTCTTCAGATGTTTTTAAATACACTCACAAAACTACTTGTTTGTATCACAAACCAAATTAATATGTAGGTGACCTTTGAAAGGGCAAATTGTTTTGCAGCTCAGTCATCAACTCTCCCCTTGAAATGAAGGTTGTGTATAATGTCAAGTCATCCTGGAGCTGGAGAAGGAATACTATGCCAGCCGTGGACGTATCTCGCTGGGTATATTTTCATCCAGAATTGAATCTAGTAAATCTGGTTGGCTACCTAATGCCGCAACATCCCAGCTTCTTGTAGGAAGACAATATCAAAGCCCTTTTTTATACATGTGGAGTGGAGGAGCAGAATGAACACAGCATTGACTGTCTCATAAGAAACCCATAGGTCAGCATACTCTTAGCTAACATATTTGTACCGTACAATACCGCTCATTGCTAACAAAACAAAAGTTACGTTTTGTGAAAAAGCCGTACAGGTATCACCTCAAACAAATCGAACTATCAGGAAAGTAAACTCCAGTACAAAACCAACAAGACAAAAATCTTTGAAGATATCAAAACATAATATGAAACTCTCCATAGTCAGTGACAGCCAGGGTAGAGGGGTGTCTCAAGTAATTCATTATATGAGTAACAGCAATATATTAACAACCGGACTTGTAATGCCAAATACCGAACTATTGCATGTGGTGGATGTAGCATTAAAGCAAAGAAGTGATGTCATAGCTATACTCGCAGGAACTAACAATACCCTTAACAACACAATAAAGGATATTTATAAAAACATAGAGAAAAAGTTGCAAGAATTTGACAAAGATAAACAAGTTTTACTTTGCACTATTCCGCAAAGACATGATGCTCCTAACAACAGTACAATTCATTTAGAAATCCAAAGGATTAATAATTACCTAAGTGAACTGGTTGCACGATTCAAAAATGTCCATCTGATCGATACTCAGGTACTGAGAAGGTCATTCTACACGTCTCACGGCCTACACTTAAATAATAAAGGGAAAAAAGAACTAGCCCGGCTTATTATAAATCACATCAGAACTTCCAGTCAACCTCAGCATATCAAGTCATCTGCAACTAATCTCCAAAGTCACCTGTTACAATCGCAATCAATAAAATCTAGAGTACAGCTATTGGAAGCTGACATGAACACTGTGATCGAATTGTACTCAGGTGACAGCAAAAACGCTTTTGCTCATTGTATCTCCGCCGATTTTGATAGTGACAAACAGATGAGTCAAGGTGTCGCTACAGTCTTTAAAGAAAAGTTTGGCAAGCCAAGTCACTCGGATTACTGTGATTCAAACCTGACCTGTCAAAAATCCAAACAGGGAGCCATAATCTACAGCTTAGTAAAACAAAGCAAAAATACTACCAAAACTCGAAAAACTACCATAAATACAATGCTACGTACGATGCAGTTTTTGATCAGCTTGCCAAAGACTTTAAACGGAAAGAGCTAAAAAATCTGATATGCTCCCCTTTAGGATGTACACGGGACCGCATCTCACCACACCATTTCATCAACAATCTGTTGAAATTCAAACAGGAAACAGGGGCATCAATTACAATTGTTACCTACAATGAAAATGCTTCGGAGAAATTATATAATAAGTTATTGTATACAGACTTCGTGAAACACCTTAGGAAACTCATAGTGTCACTTCAATCAGCACGACAAAATGAAGATTCTGGAGGCAAAACAGGCCTACCTAGTGGCAACGGACGTCCCCTTTTGGCTGATAAAGGACATTTACTGTCAATGGAAGAATATCCTCCTCTGCCGTCCTGTAACAACAATCCAAGTTCTGCTGTTGATAATTCACACATGATGACAACCAAGCAAGATGTAACTGTAGCTGTGACTTCACCCTGCAAATCCAGCACCCCCTCCTCTCAACCTACAGAGGCAGCCGATACTTCATCATCAACAGCCCCTCAACAACCTTCTGTGTCACTGTGTCCCGAAAGTGTTAATGAAAGTGAAACCAGTGCCAGTGTTTTAGAAAATGTAAATTCTCATTTTTTAGGAGATACTCTAATAGGGGATCCTCCGCTGCATTAGGCCCTGTCACAAATAATCCCAGATGTAGCTCCAATAAATTTAATTTAAATTTAATTCATGTAAATGTACAATCTTTAAGGAATAAGTTAAGTGAATTGGCTTTAGTATTAGAGGAATCCCATTGCAACATTGCATTATTGAATGAACATTGGCTTCTTAGAGATGAAATTAGGCTGTATATTCCCCAAGGTTATACTCTCGCAGATTCCTTTTGCAGAGAGGGTGATCCCCATGGAGGCTCTTCAATCATTTTAAGTACAAATATTTCATATGATAGGATAGATATTTCACACCTTATTCACACTGGCTCATTAGAAGCATCATGTACTTACATTAATGATTTCAATGTAACTTTGATATCTCTGTACAGAACCCCCAATTCTGATTGTAATTTATTTTTTAATCAATTAGAGAGCCTTTTAACATTTGTTTTACAAAAAAAACCATCTTGTAAATTAATTTTAGGAGCAGATTTTAATGTTGACTTTTTAAAGAATGATAATCCCACAAAAATGCTTGTCAATGTCTTAAAATCGTTCAATTTATATTACATCTTTAAATACCCAACCAAAGGGAACAAATGTATTGACAATATTGCAACTAACATTGAGCCAAACTTATTTCAGTGTAAAGTTTTGAAAGAACAAATATCTGATCACCCTATTTTACATTTTGCATTTTCAAGTAGTTTATATGTGCCTGATATAGTCAAAGAAGTTTCTTTTAGATTGTTAACAAAAGAAAGGATTAATATGTTTTTGTATAGTTTAAGTGTCATCAATTGGGAGCCGGTTTTTCAGATTGCTGATGTTAATGTTGCTTTTAAATGTTTCATTGACTGTATTCAGAATTGTTACAACTATCACTGTCCTAGACTATCTAAGAGAGTAAGAAGGGACTACAAAGTTAGTTCAAAAAATAACCTGTGGTTTGATGAGTCACTTAAGAAAATGAAGGATACTCTGTTACTCCTCAAGGATTTGACTAAAATACCAGCTTATCAAAACAATGACATCCTAAAAAAATGTCTATCATCTTACAAAAACAAATATAAAACTAGAATTAAAACCGCTAAGATAGAATATAATGAGGAATTTATTAATAGTTCACAAAACAAATGTAAGGCTGCATGGAAAGTTGTTAAGTCAGAAAGTGGTTTATTTTTTAAAAGTGAAAAGTCGGATCCACCAATTACAGCTGACGAATTTAATGACTATTACATTGATGTAGGAAAACAAATTTTAGACAAGTTCTCTAATGGAGGGGGAAGTGGGTTAAATTTTTACAACTTTTTAGATAAGGAAAATGTTTCTAATACCAATTTTTCCTGGAAGCCGGTAACATCAATTGAAATTTTAAAAGTTATAAGATCACTTAGTTCCTCTAACTCTGAAGATTTTTATGGCTTTTCTAACAAAATTGTCAAATATATAGCTCCATACATTCTAGAACCCTTAACTTACTTAGTTAATATTGCCTTATTAAATTCTACATTTCCAAGTTGTCTGAAAATATGCAAAACAGTTCCAATTTTCAAGAAAGGAGATATATCTTCTGTTTCCAATTATCGTCCCATTTCAATGGTTCCAGTTTTTTCAAAAAAAATGGAAAATTGTGTTAAAATACAGCTTTTTGATTTTTTATCAAATAACAAAATTCTGAATAGCAATCAATTTGGCTTTCGACCCGGATACTCCACAACTTTAGCCGTTGAATCCATAGTATCAGATATTCTGGATACATTTGAATCTGGCAACTATCTGAGTCTGGCCCTTGTGGATCTCAGCAGGGCCTTTGACTCAGTTCTGCACACCATACTTTTGCAGAAATTGGATTTTTATGGTATAAAACACCAGGAACTAAATTTTTTTAAAACCTACCTTTGTGGCAGACAACAATATGTAGCTTCCGGTAAACAAACATCAGCTTTTAAAGAGGTTCTTGCTGGGGTGCCACAGGGGTCAGTACTTGGGCCAGTATTGTTTATATTATATATTAATGATTTGCCAAATGCTATGCCTTGTAAAACAGTTCTATATGCAGACGACACATCGTTTATTTGGCCTTCTGACAATCTTAACACAGCAATCCGTGGAATTGATAACATGATCGATATTGGTAATAATTGGTTTAAGAGTAATTTTCTTGAAATTAATAGTGATAAGACAGAGAAAATATGTTTTACACTACGTAGAAACCAAATTGAAAATCCAGATTTTGTTAAATTGCTAGGTATTTTCTTAGATAAAAAATTAACTTGGGAAGAACATACCAACAATGTAATATCTAAGTTGTCACGAGTTTGTTTTTTATTGCGAAAACTAAAAAAACTGTGTATCTAATCACACACTTCTTTCTGTTTACCATAGTTTATTTCATACACACTTATTATATGGAAATATTCTCTGGGGAAATAGCTGTGGGGCCAGCAGGGTGTTTACTTGGCAAAGAAAAGCCCTGCGGATCATGTTTGATATACCAAATAAAGTCAACTGCAAACCTTTCTTTATAAATAATAATATAATGACAATTCCAAGTATTTATATTTTTAATAATTTAGCCTATGTTAAACAAAACATTACAAATTTTACTAAATGTCACTCAATACATAACCACTCAACTAGACAATCAAACAACCTGTACATCCCACCAGTTAGACTTTCAAAATTCACAAAAAGCCATAAATATTTACAATTACAACTTTTCAATAAACTTCCCATTCCATTTAGAGAAATTGATAACATAAACCTTTTCAAATCAACATTATCAAGATGGCTAATTAGCAAAGCCTTTTTTTCTATAGACGATTTTTTAAACACAAATAATTACTCTGA